TCCCTTTTTTAAATGGTTGTTCTCTGTAGTGTGCTTTAGCCAGGTGCATTGCATTGTTCTGAAGTTACAGATCTGACCTCAGTGACCTGAGCTCTTCTTCCTTCCATCTGTGTAGAGCAGATGCTACTTCAGCCACATGCTTTCTCCTGCTGGTGAGAACACTGCCATTGCTTGGATTCTTCCTACCTTAAAAAACAAGTTAAATGCCACTTCATTTTATTTGGGGTTTTTGTCTGAGTGCTGAATTGCATATTTTGTACTTTAGCTTGTTTATACTGGAATGCTGAAATGAGGAGAATTTTCACAGAAAAATCATCTTCATTTGTACTAGAAAATGATGAGAAACAAGCTGTTGATGAGTGAGAGGAGCACCATGTTGAATATTTAAGGTTACTAGCAGTTAGGTCATGGTGCTGTAGTTTGGTATGTTGACATTTTGGAAGTCGAAAATCTGAAATGCTTTGGCAGTTGTTACCCTGAAGTCTAAATAGCCTTTAATTTCAGTGCCACTGTTGTACATATGCAAAATGTTGTCTGAGTTAGAGAAAACTTACCTAGTGTCTAGAAAGGCTCACAAATGGAAGCAGAAAGTTACTACAAATAAATTGTCTGATCTTTTGTCAATTTGAGAAAAAACCTTATTAAATTGTAGACTCATCTGACTGCTAGTACCTGTAATTTCATTGGTTAGAGATAATGATTATTGTAATCCCTCATGTTTTGCACAATCACTTAATGCATTCTCTGCTAAATGTAAAACTTGTTCTCTATTTCCATGAAACTTATAAAATGTGTAGTTACCCAAAATAAATAGAAAAGGCTTAATTTTCCTGGTGATGACTAATCACCAATTCTCCCCTTCCTTCCTCTTCCCCTTCACCTGTGAAAATAGCTCTGGAAGTTTATTTCTGTAACTTTCTGACAAGTATACAGTCAGAAAAGAAAGTATGGTAGGCATGGGTCCTCTGTGACTTGCATGTGTGGGGAAGCCATAGAGTTCTGGTTAGAACGTGAATTCATGCATCAGTGTGTTCTGGTGGTAAGGCAGGGCAGAGTTGTGCTGCTGATGTGAATAGTTGCGGGTCTGCGCTATCACTTTAGAATGAAGTAAAGTAACACTGGTTGAGGTTTCTGGTCAGAGGTATCTATTTGGACTTGTAACCTGCTTTGGAAATGTATTCTTGCAGGTTTGTTGTCAACTTTTTGCTGCCTCTAGCATTTTTTTCTTCCATTTCAGTCTTTCAGGGAGAATAATTAGCAAGGACTAATTCAGCAAGGAGCTGAACAAATGCTGGATTTGGTGTTAGGGAAGCAGTGGGAGTTACAGAGCTGTAGAAGAAAAGGAGATAGGCTTCCTCTTTCTCTTTGGCAGTGAGCTTGGACTCTGTCTTGTCCATCTGCATTGTGTGTGATTTGGGAAAGTGAATGATGTTGTGGGAACGAAACTGAAATAAGGGGGAGGGGTGGATTTTTTTATTTTGAAAAATAATTATTGCTAATAGTCTTCTTCTGTAATAGCTCAACAGGAGGACTTAATTTTGGAACCCTGGGCTCTTCCACTGCTACAGCAACTACATCAGCTCCTTCAGTGGGCTTTGGGAGTGGACTTTTTGGATCAAAGCCAACCACTGGCTTTACACTAGGAAGCACCAGTACAGGTAGAAAATTCTTGTACAGCAGAAATTTGAATCAACAATGAAGAAATATATCATCTGTACACAAAAACTGGGCCATTGTCATATGCTTACTTTTTTTTACAGTAGTTCTGTAGCTCAGAATATTACTTATGTAGTTTTGTAAAAAGGCTTCATTGAACAGTTTAAATAGTCTTTCACTGAGAATTATGCAGCAATCAGTGCTGCAAAAACACAAATGCAGTTACCAGAAAACTCTGCCTGAGCCTATGTGTAAACTGTTCCATAATTGGAATCCAGATGTTTTCTAGAAATCTAATGCTTCATCCAGGATGCTCAAAATCATGATTTAAGATATAGAGGTATATTTTGATCTGAAAAATATTTTAAAACATTGTGAGATTGTTAGAATTTGTAATGTGATATTTATAGACCTATAGTAGTAAACTTTTCTGGTTTTGTTGTTTTTAATTTTTTACTGTTAGCAATATGCATGAAGAACTTGATTAATATTTTCTTAGGTATCTAATTCAGGCTATGAACATACTCATTCTTATAGGAGTGTTGGAGTGCAAAAAAATAAAACTTTTCTGACTGGAGGTTTTGGGTTTTTTCCCAACCATTCTGCAGATGTAACTTAATGAATTTTACTTTGGTTCTAATTTTGTTAGACAAAATGGTCTTTTTTTCCTTGTGCACTTGTATAAGTAGATAGGGGAAGTTCTAAGAATCAGTCTACTAGAAATACATTTAACAGTAGACTGAAAACCTGTATTACTGTGTTTGGCTACATTGAGGTAATTTTCTTTTAGTGCTCAATGATTCTTTTGATCTTCTGATCAGGTGTTTTTGAAAATATGAAATGGCACAGCACTGTGTTCAAAATAATCTCTTTAGATTACCAGTGGGTCAGAAACCCTAAACCAAGATACAGGATTTTACAAAGACTTTGGACTGTATAATCTTCTTCATGCTGTAATCTGCTGGTTTACATGCTAATGTTATGTACTGCCATATGACTGAAAAAAAATACTTGATAGAGTTACTAGTTTCCATTTTTTCATTTACCTTCATTTATTTGAAATTTCAAACAATTTGCTGTACTGCTGTTAACATCAGCTTCACTGTTAGCAGATTAGTGTAAAGAAAAATGATGTTGTTTGAAGTCAGTTATGCTTTGATTTGTGCTGCTGGCACTTACAAATACTGTTTCCTATGCTAATGTTGTTTTGCTTTCAACATACAGAAAAAAATTGTGTAATAGTCTACGTATTGTCTCAATGTTGCATTATTTCAGTGTTCTGTTTAGTATTTTTTTACTATCATAACTGCTCTGTGGTCTTCAATTACTGTTCTTATTCTGTTTGTTTTTATTAAAGCAGGAACAGCAACAACTATTGCTACAGGACTGACACTAGGTAAGGACCTAATTTGGATTTTAATGTTATACAGTCAAAAATAAGATACGGCTGGATCTGTCTTGTAACGTAGGAAGTGAGTGGTCATACGTGAGCTTTTTCCCCGTTAATAATTGCAGTCTGCTTTGCAGCCCAAATGTTAAGGCTGCAAACCAGAGTGGAGCCCTGCAGTTCTGGGCACTGTTAATTGCTGTTAAAGGATTATTCCATTCCTGAACAACTGTGCTGATGGTCATACTGAAAAGTTGGACTTTATATTTATGTCCCCCTAATGAGTTTCAACCTTCAGCAAAGGGGAGACGGAATACATTATCAAATAATTATTCATACAGAATTTCTTGCTTTCATGAACTTTGTGTGAACAGGTCTTGTTTGGTAGTTACCTCTTTTAGAAGGATAAAGAGGGTTGAACTGGGAAGGGACCTTGGGAATATTTTACTTCTGTTTCTCTGATGAATCTTTAGTGACTGTTTTTCATCTGTCATTAGAAATACACAAAGATGTGGGTAGTTGTGGGCTTTGTTTTCTTTTTAAACACCAGCAACTGAGGTCCAAGGAGAAACTGAGCTTGAGTACCACAAATGCTGGCAGAGGGGTAGGGTGGTGCTACAATACAGGCTGCAGTCCAAGAACTTAGGAAGCCATGTGGTGAATAAATAGGGAAAAATGGTATTGGATAAAGAAGCAAATGAAATGGGCAGAAGAAGGGTGGAACAGCAACTAACCTAGAACAGACTGTGTGATGCATAATCGCACAGGGCAGTCGGTACTATGCAGATGAACATTAATTCTTTTCAATAGCTGAATGGAATGATGGCATCCAAAACAGACACACGGCAGTTACTGAAGTACCAAGTACAGCTTTCTTATGCTTGATATTGGGGTTTGTGCATGTGTATGCACACTCCTCCTTTACTCTGGAATATGGATTCTAGAATGTAAAATGTATGCCTGCCATGAAAACAGCAGGAAGTGGAAGCATTATTTGCTTTACCTTAGAAGTGTTCAAAAGCAAAGTTTGAGAAAGTAACATCTCAACATATTTTTCTATTTAAAGGATATGTGCATTCATTTTGGTATGCACATCCAACTGAGAAATTCAGTCTGTATTTTGGGCAGTATTGTTTATAGATCCATTTACCAATATTTGATCTATCTATTAGATGTTCTTGGTGGAAGCTATTTCTTTTTTTACAAGTTTTTCAAAGTTACCACTAGATATAATCACCCGTCCATGATTAAAGCCCACTGGATCACTAGGAATTCTGGAGCAAAAATGCCTGTGCAATTAATGTAAACCTTTGAAATTTAGTGGAAGGTCCTATGGGGATATTTTACTTGATGCAAGAGATCTTGCACTCTGTGGTGTTCATGATGGTTAAATGGGAATAGTTCAGAAGGGAAGGTGAACTGAGCATTCATTTTCAAACAGAATGGTCTAAGAGTGGTAATTGGTTTTGTGTTTCTTTTAGGCACACCTGCCACCACATCTGCAGCTACCACAGGCTTTAGTTTAGGTTTCAACAAACCTGCAGGTTCAGCCACACCATTTGCTTTACCTGTTACTTCTACCTCAGCGAGTGGCCTATCATTGTCATCTGCTCTTACATCAACTCCTGCAGCAGGTAGGAAAATGTTAAGGTGTTTGGGAGGTTTTTTTGTAGGGGATGGTGCTTTTTTTTAACAATAAAACTTTATGATAAAACAGTTCTACACTCTATATTTTTCTAGTATTTACATAATTTCATGATACTTTAATAGGGTTCATTGGACTTGACTAATTCTAAATTTGGATACCATAATACAGGTAGATTTGTTTATATAGAGGGCAATATAACATGTGGTACAGGCAGCATATAATCTAAGTCGTTAGAAGCATAGTAAGAGCTCAATTGTCATGTAAAATCATCATTTTTGTTATTGTTAAACCCACTGAAGGTTGAAAGCTTCCTACGTGTGCAACTGAAAAGTTTGGAAAATGTCTGCCTTTCGCAGATAGCCTGAGACCGTTAACTAGCTGTGAAAACAAGGTTTTTCCAGGGTAGTTCTCATACTGGCACACACCTGCTATCATATGTAACTCAGCTAAACTACACTGTGTGTGATGATAGTTAAGACTGGAGTTTGGTTTTCTTAACCTTAGGAGTCTTCATTTGAGCTCAGCTACCTGTGCCCTCTGTGCTCTGTCCCTTTATGCCTATAGTCTTTCTCTACTCAGTTCTTCCCTATCCTATCAAGAGCTGGGGTGCTTAATTCTAGAAGGTGGCTCAAACTACCAAGGAAATGTTCTTGTCTCATCTGTCTTATGCAAAGTATTTTAATGTTTAACAGAAAATATTAACGTTTCAGCATTTTAATATAAAAAGTCAATAGTGCTTATTAGATCCATTGTGCCAGTTACAGGTAAATATGGACTAATCAGGATTATTGTATGTAGAACAAAATAACATATAATTAAAAAGTCTTAATGGCTTTGTTTGGAAAATCTGCAGGAAACAAAAACAATAATTGAGTTTGTTATCCAGTTATGATAAAGATGCTGTTTAGACCTTTCAGTTAATTCAGATTATCTGTGGATGTATTTGAATGCAGTGTCTGCATGAAGCCAATTTGCTTTCTCTGCAGGAACTACTGGCTTTACATTAAATTTGGGTGGTACAACTGCTCCAACTACAACTGCCTCCACAGGCCTTTCCTTAGGAGGAGCCTTAGCAGGTTTAGGAGGTTCACTCTTCCAGAATACAAGCACGGCAGCAACAGGTGAAAATTATTTTACTTTTTTCTGCCTTCTGTCTGAAAGCATTGAAATTTAATGTGTGATTGTATAAATTCATAATGCAATATTTAGTTTATATAAAAATTACAGTTTCACAGTGTTAAAATTTTAAGTGTTAGTTAAGAACAGTGTTGCTCTCTGTGGAGTGGACAATAAAAATGAAATCTGAAATCACTGGCTTCCTTCTTACTATTAAATTCACTTGCAGATAACACTTTTTTTTTTAAATTAAAACAAGGGAATCTTTGTCATTTCCATAGTTGACTCAAGCAAGGTGATCGTAAATGGGTGAGGGCAATGATATACAAATATGTCCTTTAACTATGGAGATGTTGAAAGTTTATTTTGGTGGGTTTTGATCTGAATAAAATCTTTAAATGTTAGTATTGTCATTTCACAGCTTCCTGTCTTTTCAGCTCTAGAGGAAAAATTAGTTGTGCTATGTTGCAGTCTTGGTAACGCTGCTCTTAAACTAAATTAAACAAAAATACTTAAGATGCTGATGATAAGTTAGCTATCTAATTAGCTACCTAGTAATCTGAAGAAATTATGTAGAATACTTGCATACAGTTTTATGGAACAAGTGTGGTTAATGGACACTGAAACTGCAAGCAAGATTACATGTGCTTTTAGTTTAAGTTTTAAGTATCAACATTTTAAGTGCTGTTTGGGTTTCTTGTAGGACTTGGGCAGAATGCTTTGAGTTTGACTCTGGGGACAACTGCGGCTCCTTCGACTACTGCCAACGAAGGTCTTGGTGGTATTGATTTTAGTAGTTCATCAGACAAAAAGAGTGAGTTTGTTTTAAAACATTCACAACTTTCAGTTAAGAAATTATCAGAGCACCTCAGCAAAGACACTATTTAATTGTGTTTGAGTGTGGAATTAAAGCTGACAAACTTGACTTGCCCCTCTCCCCCTGCCAAGGCATTTCAGTTAATTTCATTCTTAGATATTGTGCTTGTATAGAAGAACAAGATTTTGGTTGCAAATACAATGTAGTGTAAGTTTATTTATTTAAAGTAAGTACAAGCCAATATCATACTTGCAAACCACGATCTAAACCCTTTAGGCTTTCAGGGGTGAAGACTCATAGGGCTGTTTGCTGAAAAGGAGATTTCTGAACAGCTGTATGTCGAATAGCCACTAGAGGGGGAGCAGAGCTCTGTGTAAGAAATGCATTGCCAATACAAAAGTACTCGTTTCTGACCATCTTTCTCTAACTGTAATAGATCCTAAACCTGGTTGCTTTTTTCGAAAACCTGCACAATAAAATATCTTATTTTTAGCTGTTATTCTTCAAAACTGTATTTCTGGCGGGGTGGTTCTATCTGATATGTTCTATCAGGTTGTTAAACCAGTTATAAAAAACTTTACCTCTGAGGTGGCTTTAAAGTACTTACATAAGGGAATATTGAGCATTGAAGTATGAATGCTTATTAATTTGTCTTGCTTTTATACTTTCAGAGTAAACTTAACTAAAGCTGATTCCAAAATGTGCATTTTTTTCTGGAGAATCAGTACTGTTAATTTAATCTCTTTATTCCATTCAGGAGCCATATTTTAAATTAGGTGTACCAGTAGCTAGAAGAGAAGGAAATATAGCAGCTCCCTGAAACCATCTTTATAGAGTAATGCACGTTGTGGAGACATAATTTTTCATACTTGTAGAAGAGTTGGCATGTTGACTGTCCAAACTGGAGTGCTCTGCATGATGTTGATTGTTCTTGGAGATAATTACTGAAATAGGGAGCGATGAAAAAGCTCTGATTCCTAGGTTCTTATGGGTTTTCTGTTGCTATAATATTAGGATGTCAGAACACTCCCGTAACAGACAGGTATCTTAAAATGAGGACCAGAGAACCACAGAGTCAAAATTTACTTCATTCTAACATCTCCCAGCATTGTTTTTGCCCAGCTCTTAGGGTGGAAACTTGAATGAGTACCTGAATAATTCCCCATATGTTGCTTAGTGGAACTGGGTGTGTGGACTATCACTGTCAGGATGATAAACAGAGATCCCTTAGCTAAGCAATGGGAAATGTGAAAGGATACTGTATTTTGAGTTTTCTTTTTTTTAAGTTTAGGTTTTAATGTTTCCCATAATGGATAGTGGTGGTTTAAGCAGCCCTGACAAATATCCCTATCTGTGTGCTGCTACTCGGTTCTGTCAGTACAGTTGTTTGTACTACTAGACGAGGAACTGTGTTAATGTTTGAGGGTGGTGGTTTCGTGATTTTGAGGTTTTTATTTGTTTTCCTGAAGAAAAGGGTGGAGGAGATGTGGCTACCAATGAAAAGGTGCCCTAGGGCAGATAGGGACTAGCACCTTTGTTCTCTCTTCTGGAATTGGTTATAAAAGCTTTTCCTTCTGGAGACTGAAGACTGACTGTCTAGTATTTCTTTAAAATATGTCTGCAGGAAAAGAAGCTGTTCTCATACATATTTTCTTCATGTATTACTAAAAAGAATATTAAAAAAATAAAACTGGAGCACTTATTTGCACAGAAAATAGTAAAATCCGATTTCAAATCTGTATCTTTCTAAGTATTGTTCTGATGTACATGGGAGGGTGGGGAAGTAGTGGCTAGAGAGATAAAGCAAAGTATACTTAGTTTTCTGCCAAATTTTTAGGTTATCAGCAGAGAAAGGATTCCTAAATTCTGAGGCTTTTTTTTTTTTTTTTTTTTTTTCCTTCCCCCTCCCCCCTTAGCAAAAGGTATGGGGAATGGTTTGAGATTCCAGGTTCTGTAAATGTCCTGGTACTGGGTGCCAGTCTGTAGACAATTTAAGTAGGTATTGCTTCTAAAAAGTAACTTCTCCTGGCAGGAGCACTGGCTTGTGCAGCTTAAAGTGTTTGTGGCACTAGTGTTAGCTGCTTTCTGCATCGGTGGCACTGAGAGGGAAGTGAGGATGTGAGCTGAAGAAGATGAAACTCGCTTCTTGGGCTTTCTGAGCAAGTTCTTCCTAGCAGACTGCTATGGTGTGGGATGTGCTTAATACCCTGTTATGCATGATAACTGTTTTCAGCTCCATTCTGTTACTGAGAGGCACTTGGCATCTTGATCCACAGATGCATAGTTTGGCGTGTGTAGGTGGTAGGTAAGCAGTAACATTTCAGTTCTGTAAGGCCTCGTTCATTACTAAGGTAATGCAACAGCAGAATTCTTAGGGAAGTCCAAGGGGCAAAGCTTAATTACCTTGGTATTTGAGAGGAGACTGCTATTGCCGTTGTGCTTGCATAAGCAGGAACAGATTTCATACGCAACTGCAGTTGTTTATGCGTTTGTAGTGATTTGTATAGTGATGAGATGTTTTGCGTAGCACCTCAACTGTTGAACTCTTCTTATTGCAAATATTTATCTATGAAAGGGGATTAAATTCAAACCTCCTTTCTTTTATGAAAGTCTTTAGTCTGTTTCTCTTACCAAGAGAAATCAACCAGATTATAGTCATTAGTTCTTCCCTAAAATCTCACTAAGGTTGTTTTGTTTGTTCTTCAAAGTTTTATTTCTGACATGCAATTTTTATTTTCTAGGTGACAAAACAGGAACAAGACCAGAGTAAGTGTTCGGATTTTCTTTGCATTCCATGTTTTGTTATAAAACAACTGAACTGAATATTTTGGCTTTTTTACTACTTTGGCCTTGAAAAAGGCGTAAATGTAAATAACCAGCTTTTGCAGTATGGGCAATTTAGTAATGGTCGTTCATCATTTTAAACATTGTGATTTTCCCATCACATGCCATCCCTACAACTTACTTGGCATCTGCTATAGACTGCTAATATGGTGTAAAAAATGGTTTCTGCGAGTGTGTATGATGCTTGGACCCTGACATAGTATCTGTGTGCATTTTTCCAAATCATTCCTTGTGGCATATGTGCAATGGGTGCAAAACTTGTTTAATCAGTCACTTGAACGTTTTAATGGTATTTAGTAGTCAGGCAAAAATATTTGGTGGTATTAAAGCACCATCTAAACATACATTGTTTCTTGTAGAGATAGCAAAGCACTAAAGGATGAAAATCTACCTCCAGTAATCTGTCAAGATGTAGAAAATCTACAGTAAGTAGTATTTTTTTATTTATGATAGTTGAATAACTGAAGTATTGTATGCTGTTGATGCTCTGTGACAAAAACACCTGACTGCAGGCTGCAAGTGGGGTAACTTAATAACCCAAGGCCTTTTGTCAGGTTAACCTTGGGAACAGAGTAGGTGGATAGTTCTAGGAGCTGGAGTCTTAGGCTGGTTTTTTTTCCCAGCCTCACTTTTCCATGCATTTATGCAAATGGACATGCCCAGCAAACATGATCTTAGAATCTGATCCATCTCTCCCTGGGAGTATTAAGTCTGTTGCGCATGCATAGTAAGTATTGAACCTCATGTCCATATTGCATGTGCCTTGCGGATCTGCTGTGGAGTAAAGAGAACTGCAGAGAGGAAGGAGGCAGGTTGTAGACTAGTCACAGAGGCTGTGTGCCGCTGTATTTCTGAGTCCAAAGTAGTAATTACTTTTACATAGATGCTACTTAATACATATATATATTAAAATATTTAAATAACTTCTATGTATCTTAGCTTTTCAGAATTCAGCATAACATGTTTAAACGCTTGCTATTGGAGTTTAGGGGTTTTTTTTGGCGTTAGCGTGCTAGGAGTTAAGATAATATTAAACTGTATAGTAACTCCACTGTTCAGTACTTGATTTTTGAAAAAATAATTGAATAGCTATTTAAATAATGTGACCACACACAAGTCTCAAGTGACCAAACACTTGAGTACTACAGGTTCAATACTTTGTTTCTTTCTTCTCCACCTGCTTCTTTTTTCCTTCCCCAGGAAATTTGTGAAAGAACAAAAACAAGTTCAGGAAGAAATTAGTAGAATGTCCTCTAAAACAATGCTTAAAGTACAAGAAGATATTAAAGCTTTGAAACAACTTCTGTCTGTAGTTGCCAGTGGATTACAGAGAAACACTCTCAATATTGACAAGCTGAAAGTGGAAACTGCACAGGTATAATTGAATATAAATCTTGTTACGTAGTGTTGCTATGTTGATTATTTCACATAGAATAACTGACCTTTATCAGTCAAGTTAACACATGTCCAAACTAAGAGAGTTGTAAACAAAGGGAAAAATTGAATCCCTTCTAATCTATTCAGAATTTCTGGGGGAGAGTGAAAAATCTTTGATGTCAGTATTTTAAGGTAAGTACAACAGCAGTAAAATTACTTCTATGCAAGAGAGCACTTCTCCATAGCAAAGGCAACAGAAGGGAATGCGTGCCTGCTTTAGTTCAGTTTCAGTGAAGATATACTTGTAACAACATGCTGGACTCTGGAGCAGCAGAAATGCAAATGTGACCAGAGAAAAAACAAACAATAGCCACCCCATAACATTTCAGGGACCAAGATATCTTAACTAGCACTAGTACTAATTTAGTGAACTTGAGTCATGATTCTGTACACCAGTAAGCATCTCCTCTGTGCAACCAGTTTAAGCTCAAGTTTTGATGCAAGTGCTATTCAGGTTAAGTTCTCTACCACTTTTTCTTTCATCTGTCATGTCAAGGGTGCTTGCTATATAAGTAAGTGTGTTTTACTCTAAAGTTAAAAAGTTGATTTTTTTCTGTATCTTGTGATACCAAAAGGAAGTACTCTAACTGTGCCTTGCCAACAGTTTTCTGTGACAACAAAAACTGGTTACTGATATTCTAATATTTCTGTAAATGATGCAGTTGAGAATAATTGCAGAACCAAGCACTGAGAAATTCTTATTGATAGGGTTATTAGAAAGTTTTAAACAGAAATATATACTGTAATTATCATGCATTAAAAGATCATTTACATAGGAAAAGTGGTATTTTTTTAACTATTTAACTTTTTTTAAAGTTAAATAATCCTTTTTTGTTATCTTTCTTCTCATTTAGGTGTGTTACTGCCTTGCACTTGACTGTTTCTTTTTTTCCTCTAGTCCTCAATTATTGTGACAGGATTTCTGAAGTAAAATAAATTAGATCTTATCTCCGACAGTTTAGCGCAATATTTTCTCAACTTCTGAGAGTTCAGAGTACTTTCAGGATGTGCTGCTGTTTGCTCCTTCCCCAAACTTCTGTTGATATTTGCAGTTCTCCAACTTTCTAGCAGTATATTCTTTGAAGAATTATTGGTTGGATTCTCTCACAATTTTAACTTAAGTATATGAAGAAAAGATTTTATGTGAATGAACATTAGACTTGTAGCTATTTTTCTTTTTGAACTCTTCATACAGAACCTTCTCTTTTATTAACTCTCCCTTTTTATTTAGGAGCTAAAGAACGCAGAAATAGCATTACGAACACAGAAAACTCCTCCTGGTCTCCAGCATGAAAATACAGCCCCAGCAGAGTGAGTTACTGTTATTCATAGAAAATAATCGATAATATAACTTGGAAAAGAGAAGACTCTGGGGAGACGTTACTGTGGCCTTTCAATACTTAAAGGGGGCCTATAAGAAAGATGGGGGTGGACTTTTTAGCAAGGCATGTAGTGTTAAGACAAGGGGAAATGGTTTTAAACTGAAAGAGGGTAGATTTAGACTAGGTATAAGGAAGAAATTGTTTATGACAAGGGTGATGAAACACTGGAACAGGTTTCCCAGAGGGATGGTAGATACCTCATCCCTGGCAACATTAAAGATCGGGTTGGATGGGGCTCTGAGCAACTTGATCTAGTTGAAGATGTCCGCTCTTGGACTAGGTGACCTTTAGAGGCCCCTTCCAACCCAAACCATTCTGTCATTCTGTGAACTTTGTAATAAGAATTACATTATTTTTTCTGCTTCTTACAACATTTGTACTGAATGCTTCATAGAATCAGTGTTTTATTTCTACATTTAATTTGTCTTTATCTCGGACATGAGAAATACAGGAATGTCATAGAACATAACCATTGCAATTAATTAAATTAAAATTGGCAGCTAATATAGATCAGATTGGGGAAAAAAAAAATAGCGGCAAACTAGTGAAGTTTAATCATAAAATTTCATTGTTTTACTCCTCTAGCTACTTCAGAATCTTGGTTGAGCAGTTTGAAGTACAGCTGCAGCAATACAGGCAACAAATAGAAGAACTGGAAAATCATCTTGCTACTCAAGCAAATAATTCACACATAACTCCACAAGGTAAATGTTTCAATTTCAGTGTTTCATACATAAAAATAAATAAATTTTATACCTATAAGAAAACCTTAGTAATTAATCACTTCTTTTGTTATTGTTGGTTATTCTTATTTAAATACAGAAATGAGTGTTCATATAGATTCTGCAGTTGTTCAGTATAAAGATTTGGATAAAAGATTAAATTCATAGAGTCTTGAGCTTTTTAAGATGGATCCAGTTCCTTATGTGCAGTTTGTAAGCCTGGTTTGTTCTGCATAGACATTTTGATACCTAGTTATGTAGGAGTAGAAATCACAACTTCTGAACTTCTGAAAAATAGGAAATGAAGAAGCATGGTATGGTTTACATTCCTGTTCTGACTTAGGCACGTTCTTGTAAAAGAACTTGGGTCTTCTCTAGATTTAGCTAGGGCACTTTCATAGGAGCTGGAAATGGAAATTTGGGGCTCCAGGACACAACTGAGACAGTTTTACACACACTTGGACTCTAGTTTGGTGATTACTTCTCTGACAGTGTCTATTCAATCCATCTATATTTTGCTTCTTTACAATTCCTAGTGAGTTCATAAACGTCAGAGAAAGCTCCCTACTCTTCAGTTTTTCATTGGCTCAGCTCAATATTGCTTGGTTTATTGATGCTCTTCTGCTTCCAAACCATTTTTATTTCTTTTGCTTTTGTCTCTGTCTGTTGTTTGTGTGGTCAACATAACAGTGAGACAATCTGTTTTCCTTTTGCTTTGGTCTGTCTTCCTTCATCTATCCCCTTCCACTAATATGACTCTTCTGTCCACCTGCTATTTTAAAACAAAGTCTTTATTTAACAGAGGTGTTTACCTATGGAAGATACTGAAGTATCTTCACCATTGTAGTTGAGGGGTTTTTGCCCTTGTAAAGTCTGAGAAATTAGGCATTTGTTTGGGATATAAGGTTATCTTGTCAAAAAATGAGGCATGGGGACAAAGATGGCTTTTCTGGGAAAGGTGTTCTGTAATTTTTTCTTCTATAAATCTCTGAGCTGGATGGACAATCCTGACAGATCATGCGTGTGAGAGCATTGACATCTGCTATATCTATCTCCCTCCCTTCGGCATCTGGCTGTTACAAGGCTTCTGTCTAGCACCTTCTGTCTTGCACTGGGCTGTCTGACCAGACAAATAGAGGTCTCTGATCTGCCAGCTCCAGATCAAAACGGGAACTTTTCCTTAGTTTGGAGCCTGTTGGTATTGCCTTCAGCTCTGACCAGTTGAGAAAATTTAGTCTTGTTTACTGCCACATCATTCAAGTCTTGAGAGTATCTCTCTGGTCAGAGAATACTGACCTCTTGACAGTAGACTTCTGGTTGGTTACCATTCCTCTGCTCATAGACACTTATTTTTGGGGCCATTTTAGGTACAGATGATGCAATAAGCAGTGATTTCAAGTTGCGTGTCTTTTTGTGCAATGAGATACTTGAACATCTTGCAGTCACAGGATGGTACTTAGACTCTGGACCTCATGTATCAAAAATGAGAGAACTGTCTAGACCTAGCTTCCAGAATGGAAGATCTGCTGAATCTTGAGGGTCCTGTATCTTTCCATGTGATCTTGTCTATCTAGAGTATGAGAGATGCCTTCACAGATTTTCCTCTGTTTTTTTCAGTAGTTTCTGCTATTATCCAAAGGTTCCTTGCTTGTGGGGCCAATCTGTTGTGCCAGAATGCTTGGACTGGCAGCAGGTAATCTAGTCAACACTGTATTGCCTGTGTAGCCTTCACCATACAGGAAACCATGACTCGGAATGTCTTGAAAATTTTGAAATGTCTAGTATTAGGTATCAATAAATTGCTTCCAAACTCTTTGTAAATTTGTGGCCAGTCTTCCTAGATACCACTGCCTCCACAACCTTGCCGGTTGACGTGAGATTTATTGCCCAGCTTTTCTTTTTCAGAAAGAAATGCAAATGATAATGAAGAAATTCTCCTGTGGAAAGGCAGACATTTTCAGATGCACCTTCAAGAACTTGATAGCTACCGTTTGCATTTCAGTAGGTTATAGGCATCCTTCAAAGGAAATTAGAAGCTGATCTTTTCACAGTGAAAGACCATTTCAGCACTTTTCTGTCCTCCATTTTGGTACATCGTTTCAGTGCTTCTTCCAGAAAAGCTTTTTTTTTTTTGTCAGCAGATGCCTCATTTTGCCAAAACCTTTGAGATTTCCCCTTTAATCCTGAAGTGTTGCATTAGTTGGGTCAGTGCACTGAAGACACTTTCATATCTGTGTGGGAAGTAGGATATCCTAAATCTAAGACTATGTAGGCAAGAAGCTCCCCATTGTGTTTCTCTGAGATAGTCTTGTGGGTAGAGCTAAAATAAGAGTTCCTGTGATGCTTGTTAATCACATCTTTAAAATGTAAGTAAAGCTTCCATGCTACTGCTCTCTCTCTGGCAAAATCAACTGAACACTTAACTCTGCCTTAAGACAGAAAGAGTGGAAAATATATGCAAAGGCAAGAAAATCTGATAAAACTATATTTATGTAAAAACCAATGAGGTAAAATGTACCTGTGTTATTAAATAATTTTTTAGCTTTGATAAACAATAGAATCATAGAAAACAAATGACCCTGTATTTAAAAATAAATCTGAGAAAAGAGTACTTTTCAAAATGAAGTTTGAAGCCCTTTCCAAAAGTAGTCCTTGTGTGACTTGTGTCAACTAATTCCTCTCAAATTCTCTGTTTCTTACAGACATTAACTTTTTCTTGTGCAGTTGCTTTTGTGCTTTGTGCTGTATGGATTTTGGGTGGGCTTCTTGCTGCAGTATAAACACTAAATCTTTTCTCCTGGTATTAAGTTTGTCACTTACCAATATTTTATATGCCTTTTACAGATTTGTCTATGGCTATGCAGAAAATCTATCAAACATTTGTAGCTCTAGCTGCACAACTTCAATCAATACATGAAAATGTAAAGGTATGTTGATTTTATGTGATCCTGTGTATTTAGTGAAAGAACTACAAAGAGTCACTCTTGAAAATATAATATATCTTCAAGTATTCTTTTTTTTTCTGTTAATTTAACTGCTTTAAAAATTTTCCAAGTGTCCTGGAGAAGTGCTTTGATTTAAAAAGTAACTTTGGTTCAGCTGAAGCCTTATTTGAATCATTAACTTACAATGATAATAGCAGCTGGCCATGATCATTTAGGTTACAAAATATTTTTAATTTAAGTTATTTTGCTTTTTAAAGTGTGGATCAATTTTTGAAATGTCGGTCATTGAGCTGCTGCTTGTATGTTTTTCTTTTTGCCCAATGACCTCTTGATCTCAAGCAAAGATGATCTAAATCTGCTCTTACTCAAATAGGTAACAGAAAAAAAGTTGATATTCATATGTAAGATTTTTCAAAATACGAAAGAATTTTGGTGAAATTTGTGTTGTAGCTTGCTTAATTTTTTCCAATCTGTTTTTTGTGGAAAGTTTTATGTACAGGGGAAAAAAAAAAGACTACTGTGAAAAAAAGCTAATATATCAAAGGTCTTAGGCTTGTTTTTTCCATCATGGACTTCAGTTTGAATTTCCCATTTACAGTTCTGGACACATTGACAAAATGTCAGTGTTCTACAATCCGTAATTTCTCTTGAGATCATCAGAACCCTTCTTGGTTACAAAATTAAAAAAAATGGAGAAGAGTACAACTGTTTGGGATTGGTTGCTAAGGGACTTCCTTAATGGGGATAGCTCTGGAAAATCTTCTGCTTGTTTCCTTCTCAAAACTTCTTCTGCACAGTATTGCTAGTTCTCCAAACATCTGAAACTCTTCACTTTTTCTGGATAAAGTTCAGGAATACTGAGGATCTTGTATGAACTAGATTCTTTGCATTGCATTGCTTCTGTCAGCATGGATATTCACTGGTTTACAGCTACCTGCCATCAGATATTTGTGCTGCTCTTGGTTAACTTGGTAGCAAATGGAGAATATATCAACTTCTCCATAATTTTGACAGAATTACGCAAAAATTATCCGAAATGTGTTCTGAGCTCTTAGCTTCTGAGATCTGAGTGTAGCCTGAACTCCTGTAGTGGTCTTTGATGATAAATTTTCTCTGTTCTTCGATATTAAGAGATGGATTAGTATGCAAGTGTCCTGGTTTTGCTAGGATAGGGTTAATTTTCTTCTTAGCAATAATATCCTTGGTAACTTGTCAGTGTGAATGAATAGGAAAGAATTTCCTTCAGCTTAAGTATTCTATTGCCTGAAAGTAAGGGATTGGTTTAAGGATTTTTCCTTCTTTTGGGAAATTTTTTCACTCTTTAATCTAGTGGGTGGACATGAAGGCTAGTAGTTTGGAATCATAGAATCATAGAATGGTATGGGTGGGAAGACACAGTTATAAAGATTCAAAAATCAGAAAAATTAATGTGCTGCTTAGGTGGATCTCATCTTCTGACCATCTGTTTTAGTTTATCAGCTAGGAGATGCTAGGAGAGGAGTCTCTGCCTTATTTGATGGTTGTGATATGGTTTGTGAAGGCAGAGTTGTGACAGTTGCTTTGTCTGAAGTCTGCTTTCTGGTTTGCACGTACTTTGATTCAAAGGTCTGAAGTTGTAGAAAAACATGGCTTGAAACATCTTTGCACAGGGCTAGTTGTTACATGTAGTTATATCATATATGAACAAATAGATACATGCTGTATCCAAGGTCAGTGATAGTGAAGGTCAGTGAAGAGTGAAATGTGCTTGGGCACAATTCGGGTGGAGAAGGTCATTAAATCGTTCTGCACAGATTAGCCTTAAGAACTGTTCTATCATGTCTAATAGCATTTCTGGCAGCTCCTGTGGCAGTCAGTATGGCATTGTATGAAATCTCACCAGCATTCTATGAATGTCTTTTTTCTCCAAAGATGGCACTCATGATGTCCTAATGAGGTCATTCTTGCTGTTGCTGATAGACTTAACATTACAGCTGTTCAGATCCCAAATCAGAATTTTTGGACTGTATGCTCCTCTTCTCGGAAACAAGCATATCCTTAGCCAGGAACACAGGATATGTCTTCCATAAAATTCAATTTAACCTACTCTTCCTTGGTTTTAACAAGTTTATTACATTTAAAGATTCTCTGTTTGACAGAATGATTTCCATCTTCTGTTTTTTAATTGAAGTTTTGTTGCGGTGGTTTCTGTTGGTTGGTTTGGGTTTTGTTTTGGTTTTTTAAGAAAATGTTATTTATAGCTCAGTGTCTCTTTCCTTATGAAGTTAAGGTTTTATGTCAAATGCACTGAACTAAATGGCTTCCCCCACCCCCTTCAGATGCTCAAAGACCAATACCTTGGCTACAGGAAAACCTTTCTGGGAGATGCCATGGATGTGTTTGAGGCAAGACGAGCAGAAGCTAAGAAGTGGCAGAGCGCGCCACGAGTTACCACTGGACCGACCCCTTTCAGCAACATACCAAATGCAGCAGCCGTTGCCATGGCTGCAACACTTACTCAGCAGCAGCAGCCTGCTACAGGTCTGAGTGCATTCAAGTTATAGATTATTAGTGTTACGACAAAAGTAAATTTGTGTAAAGTTTTCTATGAAGTCTTCCTTCGTGTTAGACTAAAAATCTAAACATTGTGATGGGCAAAGTTACTGATACATAGCCAATATAAAAATGCAGGGTAGACTTAGCAATAATTATACAACAGATACTTAATCTTGTGAATTTACTTGTATTGGTGATATTTACTGTATTGTTCTAACTTACCCCTTGGAATGTGAGTCTTCACTCTACAGTAACATCTCTGAATACGCATAGTATAGCCTCTTTCCAGAATTGTATGGTTATAGTAAATTATTTCAAATCAGTGAGGAGAGGATATCTAAATGCATATTACCTTTTTCTGATGTAAAATTAATAATGCATTTTTATATAGCACTTTGGAACTGTAAAATGAAAAATGCTGTAGAACAGGAAGGATAGTGAAGCAAACCTCTGTAGAATAGGAAGACAGATGCCTGGCTTATTATTTTCTAACCAACTCCTTTGTCAGAGTGATGTTGGAGTAGGTTTTGCTGGCATTCTGCTGTTGCAAATAAATACTAGGGAAGGTAGAGTGGATCAGTGGTTCCATGTGAGCATGTGTCTAAGAGGAAGACCAAAACAAAGGAAAGGCATGACCCACTGCTAACGAAGAATGGATATGTATGGCAAAGGAAATAACTTAAGGCACCTTAGTTGATGTTGTTATACTAACCAACACTTCTCAGAGAGGGATTCCTGAATGTAGAGAATTCGATTAATATTTAATAATTTAACAGAAATAAGATAAATTCCGTTTCATATTACTTGAACAGGGATATGTGTCTATGTCAACAAATTAGGAAAAGCATAGTTAATTTCATTCTACCATTTGTTTTCTAAAATATTGTTTATCTTAGGTGTTCTGAAACTCATATTAGCACCTTTTCCTTCTCTTGTCTTATGACAGCAGTCATATTTTTAATGGTTTTAATTGGAGATCTATGCAGCAACCACCCTAAGTCTGACAGATTATTAGGCTGTCCCGGCCTTCTCCATAAAAGGAAAATAAAATAAAATGTGCTTCCAACCCTGGCCCTTATAAACAACAAGGAGATGAGTTTAAAAGACAAATATGCCAAAATATTTTGAACACAACAAAAAATGAAGTCTTTATGAAATATTTATCTTCGAAATTTCTGTCATAGACCAGAGTCTTCCTGTTGCTGCTATGTTAATCCATGGAAATTCTGTTGAAGTGACGTAGGCAAGGGAGTCTGGTTTTAAACAGAGAACAAGATAATGTAATGTCGCACTTCAGGTTTTTTAATGCAGAGAGAAGTGTGGCTTGAGCAGTGTAATGTTGCCAAAGTCGTTCCCTCTCCCTTCATCTTTCTCCTTTTCTCATGTTTTTTTTTTTAAATGCTCTCCATGGTCATTACAGGATTAGTTGTGTATGAAAGTCATATACTTGGGATGTTGCATTTAAAGTTATACCTGCATTTTCATGAATTGAGGTGAGGAATTTGAACTTCCTCTTCCTAGTCCAGATTCAAGAGAACTGCTAATAACTTCAGTAATTTGATGCCACTTATGGCGTGACTTCATGAATATTCCCTTAGGAGTAGGAGTGAAGAGGGGGGTGGGGGAGGGAATAAAAGGCACAGTTGACCTCTACTAACACACCTGAGGTAAGGTGACTTTATACCTTGAGGTATTTTGTAGTGAAAGGAGCAAGTGGGAGAGTGTGTAAGTTGGCTTTGGGGTTGGTTTTTTTGTTTTTGTTTTTTTTTTTTCCTTTTGGTTGTTTCAGCGGAATATTTCAAAAGCCAAAAATGTGCCAACTACAAGAGTGATGCAGATAGAAAAAAGCCATTAACTTACGTCATACATGCCAACAAAAATAGACAACACTTTGTTTACTACTTATTCAGTTGGAATATTGTCACCCTCTATGCAAATCACTTGAGGACCTGGAGAAATAGAGGTTGATTGATGTTTTGAGTGGCACTCCAAGAGTACTTAAAACTCTTAGCATGTAGGGTTAGATGGAACTTGAAGTCATCTTTTCTGTTCCTCTAGCCTAAAAGCAGGATTAGTCAGACCTGAACTGTTCCAGAGAGAAAATCTTAAAAGCTTGCTAGAAAGGAAAATTTCATAGCTCTCCTAAATTACTGATTTGAGTGCTTGACTTTTTCCCAGCAACTTATCTGAAACTTCTTAGCTTCAGATTAAGGCTGCCAATTTTTGTCTTACTCTTAGTGGAAAAGGAGAAGAATCTATTCTTTCAGTTTTTCAGGCATCTTTAAATTTTTAAAGACTGCCTCCTCATCCTTTCCTTTTCCTTGTTTGAGTTTTCAGATGGCCATTTGCTGCAGTAAAATGGCAAATGTTTGTGTTTTAACTTTGTGTTATGTTGTTGTTAATTTGATAAACTGTCTGCTAGAAGTTAAAATCACACATGTTTCTTTGCAAGATCCTGAAGAGTGGGATAGATGAGGGGTGGGAGAATGTTAAGAGATAAAAGACTATGAAATGAGGTGTATATAAAGGTGGAGGAGGGGGCATCTGTGTAATATCGACCTGCTGTTGCTGTTCTGGAAGATAAGAATAAAACAAGAAAATTAATCTGGGCCTTAAAGTTTTTGACTAAAATCTAATATACGGTACTCTAGTATTGAGGGATCAGGATGGGTAGTCTCTTTTTTAAAAAATATATTTCATGTTTACATGGTTAAGTTTATTACATAAGATTAATTTAGAGTTAGTGTTCTTTCTCTGAAAAAGAAAAATAATAATTTATTTTAAATTTGTGTTCAGAAGTCAAAGGTTTAGTAGCTACGTCTAAGCTGTGGGATCAGGGAATGTTTCCCCAGTTCCTGGGTGTCGATATGCACCCTATTTATGTTCTCTCTGTATGCCAAGACATATCTGGCTTCTGTTGAAATAAATAAAGCCAGTGGATCCTGGTCATATGGAAGAAAGGGAGCAAAGATGCGCTCCACTGATCTCCTGGGATGGATAATCAGGACACCAGGATTGTGGCGTGCACACTGAAGCACAGTTTTTGTGCAGTTTTTTGAAGCTAGTTATTAAAATTATGGTAAAGTCTTGTCTGCACACAACCTTTCTCCCTAGTTTAGCACTTTTGATCTGAGCACAGCTTTATTGGTAGCAGTGAGGCTGGTCATGCTTTTGTGCAGTAGCAGATAGAGTTTTAGGCGCTGCCTCACTTGCACCTTCCCTGAGCAATCTTGAAAGCATGGAAGTTAAAATGATGGTGGCTAGTCTGCCTATTATTGTTGATGGGACTAAAGTAAAAGATTTTAGAGGAAATTAAAGCCTAGTGAACCAAGAGCATGAGGCTGAAACTGATGTTTTCTGGTAAGACTAAGTTGTTTTAAAGAAATGCTTTTCTTCAAGCTCACCTTTCCTCCTCTAAAAAATAAATAAGTACACCCCCCCAACAACTTAGTTACTCTCTCCTTAACTGGTGTAGTACAGAGTGAGTCAAAGCATTATCAAGCTATTAGCACACTTTATTGTGTTTTGGCTTGACTCAATATGAGATTGAAGTGCTAATGGGAAAGGATACCAAAATCGTTATAGCACTTGAAATTTTTATTGTATAATTTGTTATTAACCTTGGTTAAAATTAGTCAGTGTATTATTTTGTCAGAATCAGATCTAAGTTGTGATACTAAATTTGTTCACTGTCAGGAACAGCTGTGATTTTAAAAAATTCCAGAATGGCTCTTCTGGAAATCTGGACCTGTCTGGACTCTTTGTAGTGAATCTTATTCGTTAAACTGAAATGCTCTACAGGGCAGATACATCAAGTGTTAAAATATTTGTGATAAAGAATTTGTCTCGTACCTATAATAGCCAGAAGTGCCAATTTTTTGCTAGTGCTTTTGGCATTGAAAAATCTCTATTACTAGTTTTTTTGCTATTGAAAATTATGTTTACTTATAAGAACTATAAATACTGATGATGCCTTCAGAACATGATGGTACAAAAACAACAAATATCATATGCTGTTGCTCAATGAAAAGCTTGTTAGCCTAAGGCAAAAGATCTTGTTTTATATAATCCAAGGTGTTTTAGAATAATGTTTTTTACTGGCTCTAAAGAGCACGTTGCATTTGGTAAAAAGCTTGGCCCTGGAGGACTGTAGTGTTTTGTTTTAAGGTCTTTCACTAACAGTGGCTCGTACTGAGATAGAAACCTGTGCACTTAAGAAGGAACTGGATATGTGGGTTTGGGTTCTTCTTTTAGTTTATTAGGTGACTAACTGACTTGTGTAGTGTTTTTTGTTTCTTTTTATTGATGATAATTTTCTTATTTTTAAAGAGCTGCTAGGTAGATGTATCAGTATTTAAACTGGATGTAAACAAGTTTAGTTTGAAATTTATGTGAAAATTTGTAATTACAACATTTGATATACTTTTTTTTTTAGCTGAAAAAATAGGTTGGGTTTCCCAACTCTTCCCTGCTAAGCAGAGACTGAAAGCTAACTTTAGTTGCCCTTAAAATTTAGTTTAACACTACTTTGAGTATACAGATGTCATTCAGCTTGGATCACATAAGAATTTTGTGTTCCTAGCAAAAATGTTACTTTTCAATTTACAGTGCCTTTCACTTGATTCAAAATTATTTTCCATTTAAATCTTCAAATACTGAAATTATTTTGAAACCTTGAAATACTACATCTTAAAACTCTAGAATATTAGTAACAGGAAACTTTGTAGTACGAAGGAAGAAATTTTGAATGAAAATAAGACCAAACATGATAATGGTTTAGGAAAAGGACTGAAATAATCTGAGCTTTATAGTAATATTTGAATAAACCATCACTCTGACAGATATAGTACATAGAGTGTGTTCAAAGATGGAGGGGGCTATTTTGAGGAAAGGCGTGAATGTCTGTGGGTTAAGTGTTTGGCACTGTATCTTATTGTCAATAGTGCACTGAAAACTGTTTGAAAAAGACAGGACTATGAGATTGTACTGTGAAAATTGTCAAAATATATTAATTATTTATCAGAATTAATAATTTTAAAATGTGTTAGTAATAGGCTAGCAAATTGATTCTTTATTCCCCAAGGTTTTTTAAAAAAATAATTTTTTAAAAAAAGGAACTGAGGCTGTAAATTTCATCTTGGCAGACTGAAAATGTTTTTTGACAGTCCTGCATCTTAGTGTGAATATGCAGGGAAAATACTGTCAACTTTTTTTTTTAGTTATGGGACAAACTCTGAGTCTGAAATTTTGAATGTATCTACTTCATTAAGGTACACAGAACTGTGCCTTTTGTAAATGTTTATTTAAACAGGTGGTTTGACTAGTTTACCTATTGAATGGTGTTATGTAGCAGAGCTTAACAGAACTCAGTTATCACTTGTGTGGAAAATAATTGAATTGTCATGTTACTGTGTAATTGACTTGCTTAAAAATGAACAATAAATTTAATAAAATAAAGTCATTGTCTTGTTTTTTATCTTAGTGTTCTGTTTAAATTTTGGTGGAATGCTTGAATAGTTTTGGATATTCCTATTTATTAAATGAATTAACTTTTGGTAATACAGTTTTAGTTACATTAGTGTCAGGTCTTATGTTTTTAATTTGAAGGTTTCCCTTATTCTGATTCCATTAATACAGGTGGCAAAATGTTGCTACCTGTGAGTTCTCTTAAGGTTTTGATTAATGTTTTAAAGTTTAAGGTGAGACTGGATAACTTTTAAAAAATACTAAATGATGTTATAATGGTATTAGCTTTGACTAGTTTCACCTTATTACAGTCAGTGTTTTCTTAGATTTTTACCAGGTGGACATAGAGGCAGACAGTTAAGTGAGGAATTTTGATGAGGTAAAGTTTGGGATCTTAATGGGATTTGTTGAAAGCAATGACGTTCACATTATCAAATACTTGAATAAATAAATAAAGGACATCTTTACTTTGAAAGAGTAAGGCAAGTTTGTTCTCATTTTTTTTATACCAGGGCCACAGCCATCTCTGGGAGTTAGTTTTGGAACGCCATTCGGCTCAGGTATTGGCACTGGCTTGCAATCAAGTGGCTTAGGTTCTTCAAGCCTTGGAGGTACACTTTAACTTTTCTAATGTTTCATTGAATTATTATACCGCACATCTGAATCTCTTGCAAACCTTTAACTCCAATAAGAGGATGATGTTTCAGAGAAAGACTTTACAATTCGTCAGTCTGCGCTTTCCAAACTTCATGCCTTGCGGAAGGAGTTGCTAAGGTTAATACAAGGGCTAATAAGCCATTATAGCGAAAACCCAGGATGAACAGGATGAAATTACCACATAGAAGTTCTGTTCTTAAAGCTGGGGAAGTACATCAAGTGCATCCTTTTATAACTACAACTTGACTTAATTTTACATGTATGGAAGTTAGGCACCTGAGATACTGGATCATGCTGTAGCTAATCCATAGAAATTTTTCACCTGTATGAGCAACTGTTAACTATACAAACCCATTTCGGCTTGGATTAAGATAAGAATAAATGCTAAAAGATTATGACAGTTCTGGGATCTTGCTTGCTGAAACATAATTTGCTTTAGCTGTCACACTCTCTTAGTGCCAAGATGGAAAAAAAATCTCTCCTCAAGCTGAAAAAGCAACATTTGAAAGTGAGGGAAAAATACCTACAAAATGTTAATAGTGCTGGTGGGGAATATATTCCAAGAGGGACACGTGACTGTGGAAGAGTAGGTGGTAATAAATTATAAAATTCATGTAGACCTTTTCATTTAAATGTAATGAATTTGCAGTAGCAGAACTACAAGTAGAATCTAAGGGATTAGTAGAACTTAATTTGCATTTAAATTTCCTGTTTGTGTAGGTCAGGGGTTCCTGCAGTGCAAGTCAAAAGACACTAGTGTCCTTTGAAGATTTTGTATTAGATCTGAAAATTGTTACATCTGCTGAGCACAAACACGATGTGTTGTGTTTTTCTTGTTACATCCTCTCCTCTCTGCAGCCTCAGTCCACACCCCTGTATTTTGCCTCTTTGAGCTGAACATGTGAATCAGTATTTTAATGAATTTTTAAAAATTAAACATCACTTGGTGTTGGAAACATGTACTTGAATGTTATATCAGTTTTACCTTAAAATTATCATATTGAAATTATATTTAAATCTACAAATGCCCTTTCTCATCAGATTTTAAGTTTTTTCAGATAAAAGGAAGGCTGTACACCTAAACAGGAAAAATAACCGAGAATAGTGGGCTAAAAGGAAGTACTACTTCAAACATGTTTTAAATGCCTTTTAAAAAAAAAAAAAGGGAGGGCCTAAATTTCTTCCTTTTCAACCAAAGAGGTTGTAGACTAAAGATTGTTCATATATGTTCACCAATCTGGCCAATGTATATTAAAGAACATTTACTTTTAAATTATTGGACAATTGCTTCTAGCTTTGTCATAGAAGCCTAACTTTTTTTTTCTTTGCTAGTTCTCTGCTTAGGAAGGCTTTTTCTTGCATCTATTTTCTTTTCATATATTCTGTATTCTTTTGCAAAATTTTCATCTTTTGACAAATCAAGAAAACTCTGACAGAAGCAAGTGTAGAAGAATAAAGGAATATATGCAAAATATCCTGCAGGTGTGCTCTTGGAAATGAATCAGCAGAATGAATATTTAAGGTTTTGTTTTGTTTTTTAGTCTTAGGGTTGTTTTGGGGTTTTTTTTTAACAGGACAATATTTAATGTATACTCTTGAAAGATTATTTTAGTTGGGGAAATTTGCTCTCTTTCCATGATAAAGATTCTGTGAATTTTGTCAATTATAAACATGAAGACTTTTGCATTTAAGTATGAGATATGTGGCATATTCATCCTGTGCTTTGTTAAATATTTGCAGACACCTTGCCAGAGTGTATAGTTAAAATAAACTCCCTTACATTCAAAGGATACTTGCCATTATCTACCCTTAAAACTCTTACTTGATTTAAAAACTGCAGAACACTGTTTCAGACAGTGTGTTCAACCATTGCTAGTTTTAAAATCTAAAAATTATTTCTCTAAAGGAATGTTGAAGGCTCAACTTGCAGTAAAATACAAGTATTTTCCTTTACACTTGAAACTTAAGATGGGGGCATAATTTCCTCAAACACAAATACTGTTCTCTTTTTGAAAACCTCTTGAGACAGCCAAAATGAGATAATACATTTCTTTTACTGTTCCTTCTGTCTGGCCTCTCGAACTGCAAATATCAACTTACTTTTCCTTTGAAATGATCTCAGGTTAATAACACGATTTGAAATTTTGAAATACTTTTTATTATGAAATTACAAATGTCAATTACAAAATTAACAGAATGAGTTTTATTACAGGTATATGTTTATGGGTGTCCTTTATATGATGATTTTTCCCATTAAATATTGTGGAATTCTGTTTCTATTCTGTATTTAACCTATTTTGTGGTTTCCTAGATAAAGCTGATCCCCCAATAACCTGGGGGGGGACAAGTCTAAAATAAGCCAAATGTAAAATCAAGAAAATGTTTACTCTGTTTTAAGAGTAGAGAATTTTTCGTTTAGACTTGTGAATGAAGATTGCCGCTTTCTGTAATAGAAGTCATGCAACTTGTATCTGAATTTTCTTAGTTTTGACCCATTTGCTTGCCATTTTTTTGCCAATTTAACAGGGATTCAGTAGCAACTTTGTAAACTGATAGGTTACTTCATCCATTTTTATAGTTTTTCCTCTACTCAGTTTGTATTTTCAAGGAAGTATTTTTCTCCAATGCTTTCCGGTACCACTGTTCTTGTAACGCAGTGCTGGGTTGAGAATAGAATAGTCTTGAGGCAATAATCTTAGGAATATTTGTTTATCAAATAATGCTTAGAATTATCTTTGGTTTCAGAATACTTGCCCTAAACCTATGTGTCTTTAATTGCTGTGTCTGTAATTTTTTTGTTGTATGTCTTTACCATTATTCTGCTAGGATTTGGAAGTAGCTCTGCCTTTGGAAGTAGTGCCACAGGAGCATCGTCATTTGGGTTTGGAACTACAACTAAACCATCAGGAAGTCTAAGTGCAGGTTGGTTTGTTTCTCTTGAATTCAAGTTTATCTTAAAGCAGAAGTGTTGAAGAAAACTTCTGAAACAGATGTACTTGAATTTACATGTGTTTATAACCATTAAAGTAATTATTTACTTGCTAAATACACATTTTCAGGTAAATTTTTAGGTTCTGTTAAAGGTCTCTTAGATAGACAATATTGAGTGAGCATTAACGTTTTCCATTTGATTGTGTCTGTCTAATTATGAGTGGAAGCGGGAGATCAAATGCATCAGATGGGATCAATGCAATCTCAGGCACAGAAATGCAGTTAATACTTGAATGCATAGACTATATAGTTACTGAGCTATTGAAATTAGTGTTTAAATTTGTGACAAATATGCCAGTAATTTAACTTCCTGTATTTACAAGTAAAGTTAATTATTTTTAGAAGCCCATAAGGTTTCCTTAAGACTTTTTATCTGCTTATCCTTTTTATTTGAATAGTAAGTTACAGGTATTGTACCTCTGCATATATCCATAATTCATTATCTTAACTGCTTTGGAAGCATTTTTGTGGCAATTGAACTGGTCAGCACTCATTTTACTTTTTTTGATTTAATTTTGTTGGTGGTGAGAAAATGAAAATACGGATGCAATTGCTCCTTAACTCAGATTTCTGAAATCTTAGTCACTTCTATAGCTTGCATCTCTCTTTACTTTTTAAATAGGAGTTTGTTTTTGAAACAAATAGCTTACTATAGTCTGTCCTACTATCTTTCTTCAATGACAGATTGAAGGAGTATCATGTCTCCTGGGACTGGCTTTTGGTAGCATGTTTCTTTTTTAAAAGCAAGAAGGTTTTTTAACTGCTATTAATACAAAAATAACAGGTGGCTGGTATTTATTAGTAAGTGCCCAGTGCGTTAACTTGGACGTGTAACACCCTAGTAAATTCCCTCAGTCTCTCTTTAGTAGTGAGGGAGTTGGACTGAATAAAATTCAGATTGTTTTCAGTTATCTCAAGAGTCTCAGATACAGAAGGTGGTAACCAGAAATATAAAAGATTAAATGTAATTCCTGTAATTTTGTGCTTATAAAATAAAGTGGTCATGAAATCCTGATCTAGACTGCGATTATGGAATAGAAACCTCCATAAAAATTTGGTAGCCCAGAAGCACATTAACTTTTACTGTTTATATCCAAAATCATATGCCATATAGCTTTTGGATTGCATATAATGTTTAGTTTTATTTTACTGAGGGTGGATAAATGGGTTTGAATTATGCCTGAGGCTAGCTAGGTTATATATTTTTTTAATGTGTCCTGTTTCTTAGATAACACTTACAGGATCCTGAAACAATATTCTGTTTTATGTTACCTTATGATAGTTGTATCTTGTTTCTGAATCTTTATCTTCTGAAAAAGCTAGGAAAATTGAGTTGATATGGCATATACTGTTATTACAGCTTGTGTTTAGATGTGAGCACTTAAAATATTTTCCCAAACTAATGTCTAGAAAGTGTTCCATCACCCTGTCCTTCTCGGCTACTTAGGCCATGCCCCAAGACTCCTCCACGTGTTTTCCATCAGTTTGTTCTTATTTTAGAGTGAAAATTACAGATCCCCAAATTGCTTCTGTCAAGTGTTTGTAAGTTATGAGTTAGATTTAATTGCTTTATAAGATTTGAAAATATTTCTAGTAGTATTACTGCTCTTCTCAGTTTCAGTTTCTATGTTAAAAGAGAAAATTCGGAGTCTTCTGAAAGTACTTGAACATCTTCTAATCGTAAATTTGGCTTAGTCCAGGAGCAGCTGTTATGTCCACTCTGTCAGTAGGTGAAAAGCAGAGCAACTGTAGTCTTCTCTCAGTTCCTTTAGTGCACACAATTGCGAGATGGAACAAGTGTCCTCAGACTACCCTCTGAAACACAGAGAGACACTGTGGAAAGCTGACTCCAGATCAAGTCCCAGTTAATTCCTACTCTTACTCATTTGATGGCAACCGAAAAGGCTGATTTGAGTGAGATGTTGTGAAGAGCATTAAAACTCCCAAAGGGATGGGAAAAGGAAAAAATCACCATTGAATTTATAGATAAAAGGTTGGGGGGGGGGGTTGTACGGATACACTATTTTTGTGAAAACTGAGATGTTACATGTATGTGGAAGAACTGAGTTGGGAATTTGTGTTGGAGATTTATTTTCATTGAAGAATAGCAGCCTCAGTACATGGGATAAGAGACAATCATGTGGGATTGTGGGATCATGGCTGGACATACTCATGCTGCTGAAAAATGGACCTGAATATGATCCATGTGTAGCTATGAGCAGCTATTAGATACAGAGTTCTTTCAGGGACATGCTGAGTCTATGCCCTCAAAGGGCAGGTTGTTGTTTACTTTCTGAAAATAATTGTTTACACATAAGTAATACTAATTTCAACAAAGAAATCCTTGATCACATTGTAGCTATGGTTCAAGACTTATGTCTCTTCTCTCTACAACTGAACTGTTTATGACTGATTCTCTTTCCTTGCAACAGTAATAAGACTGAATGTATACCTTGTTCAAGGATTTTTCCTGAAGATTTTTCATTTCCATTTGCTTTAGGGTTTGATTTGGTTTACTTTTAAGAAAAGAACTTAATACTGTGGCCTTGTTATGCTGCCATGACAGGACAAAGCCATTTAGATTAATTTCTCTTCTGCCTTTCCAGACTTCCATGCCTGTCCTAAATGGCACTTCTAGCAAAATAGCTTTTACTTTCCAGGCTACATCTAAATAAACAAGCATGTTCTCAGTCTTCTATCACACATTTTATACATCTCTCTCATATTATAACATAACTCAAATAAAGCTCAGGCTGCCCTCCCTGTGTGCTTCAAAATAATCCCTGCATCTGGAAGCAGCTAGGTGGAGGTAATTCATGAACTCTTTACCCTTGCCTACTGAACTCCTGACACTATGGATGACATACAGCTTTATTATTAATGCATTCATGATGTTTTCTATAGGGGGCAATGCTTACCTGTTATCTCTGATACGTGCTTGAAGTAAAAAGGTACCTTACTAAGAACAGTTCTGGTTATTAAAGATTTTTTTTCATTCATGAGACTCCCTGATGAAGAACAAGTTTATTCTTCTAAAAATCTTTCTTGGGATTCAGAGTTAGCAAGGAAATGGAGGTATAGTTGCATCTGCTGCACTCCTTGCATCCTAGGATGAGAGAGATGAAGTAGTCCACAAAATTTAGACAAGACCCAAATGAATAATATGATTAGTCACTCTCTAGATCTGCACGCTAATGAGTTCTGCACAAGCAACTTCACGTTGAAGGACTGCAGTTACTGGAATGTAGGTAATGGGAGATTTTCTTGACAAGGTGATGTCATGTATAACCCAGGTCCATTGCAAGAGGAGGAGTTTCACATTATGTTTTGAAGTAGTTCTTGATCCAAAGCATCAGTAACAAGTAAGAGAATAGAAGACATCAGGCTTGTGGGAGCCACTTTGGGATTCTGATGAGACAACCAGTTGGGTTTTTATTTCTGTGCTTCAAAGATATTTAGGCGTTGAGTTGAAGATACTGATGTGACCAAAGGATTGCTTTAACTGTCTACTTGAGAACTAACAAAACTATGTTAAGTAATGTGTATTGAGAATTTACCCTTTTTCGCATTTTCCCCTAATATTTTAGTTGTTTACAGGTTTGCGTGGGCAACTTGTATGAAACTACTTGTCAAAATCTTCCCTTGCCCATGCGCCATACTTGGTATTCTGTATGATTGGTTACCTTAATTTGGTTTCTTGAGAGAACAAAAAGCAGATTTAGGAAGTTCTGTTTCTTACTAACTAAGATTTGAGAAATTTCTAGCATTCTCTAAAAGTTTTAAATTATTATCTAAATTAATTGTGCATAACGGATACAAATTCACAAAAGAAAGTAAAATGAGTTAGCGTTACTGTTGCTGAAAACTGTGGGCAGTTTTTCTTCAATTGATCTTGTTTTATAGGTGGACCAAATCTTCACTTTGTTTATAGAAGAGAGTGGAGGAGTTAAAATACCACAATTCACTCGCCTAGTCATTCAGTTTTTCCAGCCCTTTGTTTTCAGTGCTGTTTTTTGGCTTAAGTCATAAAGGATGTTTTAAATACCGAGAACTTGGCAAGGATTTTGAGCCTTTTCTGCCTCTCATTTAAGGCATGATCTGTGCCATATAGACAGGCAAAGGTAGCCTAGTCAGTAGGGCATAAGGCTGGGAGCTCCAGCTCCAGCTTTGCCATTTGCCTGCTGTGAATGAAGCGAGCAGGCCGTGGTCTGCGTGTATTTCTGCCTTCCCTGCCACCCTACATAGGCATTATGTGCCGAGACTGAGAACTTGAGGAGTTATGGTTCTTCTGTTGTACAATTTCAGTGGGAGTTCTGGGCACTACTGTTGTATGGATAATGGTGTAATAGACTTGTGATTTAGGGTGTAGTTGTTTACAGCCACTGAGGTAGGCTGTGTTAGTGCTGTAACATCCAAGTTGACAGAGCGAGTCCAGGTGCGTTAGCAATGTGGCATGCTGTAGATCCATGTTAGTATAAAGTGTTACAAATATTGGTAATGAAGTGGCTTGTGTTCATAAAACCAAGGAGAACAAACTTACAGTCCTGATATAACTTACGTTTTAAAATATTTTTCCCTCCCTCATAAGGCTTTGGCAGCTCGACTACATCTGGGTTTAACTTCAGCAATCCCGGCATCACAGCATCAGCTGGCCTGACCTTCGGGGTTTCTAATCCTGCATCTGCAGGCTTTGGGACAGGAGGGCAACTTCTTCAGCTGAAGAAACCTCCAGCTGGAAACAAGCGAGGGAAGAGATAGGCACCCCTTTAAGGGAAGGGGAAGTGAATCAACTTTGTTCATCTGAAAAGTCTATTTTTCTAGATTGATGCATTAATTAAATTGCATCCCGGGAGATTTATAAAAAATTTTGCTACTTTTCCCTAGTCTGAAATACAAAATGAAATCATATTGAACAGCTATTTTCTTGTGAATAGAAACCTGTTATGTATTTTTATTTTTGGCCCTAGTTTTAGAAATGTTCTATACTGCATTATTATTAAAGAATCCTGTAAAACCACCTATTTAACCTAATGTTAGTAGCAGAATATTTTTTGTTAATAAGCTTTATACCATATGAATATATGCATATTTGTTTTTTGTACAGATAAAATATATTCTAGTACAAATACTAGAGTTCATATCTTCTGTTCCTGGATATGGCCTTTAAATCTACTTCAGGGTGTTTTTGTGTATATGGATGTAAATATATACAGTACAGTGCACACATCTGTGTGTATGTATGTGTATATATGTATAAAATACAGATGTGCAAACCTTGTCCCATAGACAGGTCTCCTTTTCTTTGTGTGTGCTGTTTCTCCACTTGGCCCTGTGATCCCCTATCTTGCTGTTCCTAAGAGTTTCAAACAGTGGGTCCCAGGCTATGTCATCATTGCTTCTTGTGTTTTATGGTTTAAGACCAGGTAAAATACAATGTTTACTATTTCATTAAGTTTGGTAAATAGTGGTTACTAGCTGGATTTTTTTAAACATTTTCTTGACCCATTTAGCAGCCAACTCTAAAGAAGAATCTGAGATTTTGCCACAGATGTTTCATAGGTGATGTTCCCAAACTGTTTGGTTTTGTTTTTTCTCCTGAGCTGAACGGTAGGGCGTTGCAGGATTTCTGAAAGCTCAGGACGCCACAAGGTCTGTGTACAAGCAGATTGTTGTGGGGCTGGATGAGCTTTTCCCTGCAGTTGGGAGAGATACAGGATATGCTACTCTGATGAAAACATGAATTAGCTGTTATGGGATGGAGTTGATTCACTAGCTTCTCATCAGCACTACTAGCATTGACTTAAAAGCTTTCAATACGAGGTAGAGAACAGTAATTTGCTGCTACAGAATGGAGGAGGAAAATGATGTCATTTAAAGGTTAAAGCTGTTGCAACAGTAGTTTATGAATCTGGCACATTACACCATCATAGCTTGTTGTGCTGCATCTCCAATTTGGTGTGCACTAGAAATAGCTGGGAAAACATCTTAAGGAGGAAATACTAGAACAAGTGAAGCTTTGCGAATAAAGGTACTGGTTGAAGTGTGAACATGGAACTTTGGAACCGAGTTGCTTTTTATGTAGATGTTTTGTATATAACATGCATCAAATGAATATTCACAATCATTTTCACAAAAGCACCTTTTTTTTTTTTTTTCTAGAGCAGTTACAGTGCATAAGATTTTTCTAGTACCAGGTCATTGGCTTTCTATCGTTAAAGTGTTACTACCATTTTGTATGTTTTGGAAATTATGTCTACATTCAGCAGTGATTGCTCTTTGACAAATGTTCAGTTTGTCACTTGATCTGATAAAATTAAGGGAAACTGAGCACAGAATTCCTCACTTTTGTACTTGTATGTTATTGAATCTTTGTGAACAGTCTCTTAGGAAGGGATATAATGTGTTTTTTTTAATGTCTCGGAAAAATAAAGCTGACAGTTTATTTTTATTTCAACCTTTTTTTAAACTTTTACTGGGCTGCAGTCAAAACCGTAATGTTTGTATTCCTTTGTTATTGCTTTTTTTAATAGTTAATGTGTTAAACCACTGGACTCTCTTGTAATGTATTAATTTGTGAAACTAATTCTCAATGTGTACTGTTTGTCCATATGTGCAACTTACCATTGTGCAAACAATAAAACAATAATGCTGTGATCCTTGTAATACATATTTGCATATTTGAAATATAATTTGCTGTTGTTCTCCTAGGTTATAGGAGAAACAAAAATGTCATTGAATAATATGTAGAATTGTTTTTCCTAGAATTTATATAGCACAAAATAGTTCTTGCTGAAGTTAGGGCCTTGATCTCTGGACTGAAAGTGAGGGGGTGAAGGGAGGTCTCGTCTCGAATCTCCTCACAGTGCACTGTATAAATCTGGGTCATGCTATCATGTAGCACTGCACTAGGTATGACCTTGTAAATTCAAAAGCAATCTGAGCTTCTTAGGTACCTGTGTTCTGTTTGGTTTCACATTAAGGCAACAGTTACATCCTTAATTTAGCCTAAGTGAAAAAGTGACTATGCAATAGAATTATCACATGCTGGAGTACAAACTGAAGTAAAAATGGGATTGGAAATAATTATATTACCAGAATATTACTTGTGTGGTTGAATTTAGCCATGATTTTCAGGGATCACCACTGTTTCAAATTCTTTATTTTGTTTTCCCCAGTTTAAAGAAATGTAATATAATTAGAGTACAAAATACAAATACATTCAAGGTGTGGCTTGGTTTTCTACAAGGCTCGTTTAGAAGCTGACCTGTACTTAAACAGCATGAAATTAAATCACACCTGGATTATTTGTTCTGTAAAGAAAGAAAATATGTACTGGAGAGAGGCAGGTTGATGTCACATATGGTTCTCTATTAGTTTGTACCTTGTACAGATCTGGTGTAAACTTACTTATGTGACTTCTTTTACTAGAACTCGGTGGGTTTTTCTTCACTGTTCTCCTTACAATGAATGTAGCAGAAGGTGGGGTAGCGTTATACCTTAGATCGCTTGCTTCATGAACCTCTTCCTCATCCCGTGTCCCAAAACCTTCTTTATGCTCACATTTGTCTCTGTTCCTGACAAGTTGGCTAGCTAGATGCTACCATGCTTATTTACTGCTTCCTTGCAGACTGGGAGGGAGGAGGTTGAAATAAGGTGGAGTTGGAGAGTGTTTATGCATCTTCCTCACCACAGGAAATCCAAATCCAGCTATCCCACCTCCATCTGCATATTCATAACAACTTCATTTTGAACCTCAATTGCTTTTAAAACATAATTTTTTAAATTAAAATAACGTTCAGGAATATGGGCTTAGTGGCCTTTTTTCCTTTAAACTGGCTATGCACAAAAACTTCCAACAATGAGGCACGTTTTGGACTGATTGCTGGGATTGTGCTGTCAGGCTGCTTCCTTCTTCCCTCTCATTCCCTTTCAACATTCTGGCTAGTATTTCCAGACAGGGATGGATGGTTAAAGTATTGCAGTAGTAGATTTGTACAACTTCTGATGAAAAGCAGCAGTTGGGCCTGGGGAGGGGAGTGACACTGAGCTGATGCCCACAGCTGCTCTGGGAGGCAGCAGTTACCTGCTGTGATGGTGCCTATGGAGCTTCAGCCTAGCTATAACATCCAACCTCCACCCACCTGGACAGGTAGGTCATTTAAAAGGAGGATGGAGTGGTGAGAGGGAAGATGAGGGGATGTAGAGCACAAGGCTACACAACCTACTGTGTTGTGAACCTACAAGGTTCACAACCTACTGTGAACAGGACAATTTGCTTCTGAACTCAATGTTGAATATTTATATGCTGGTATTTTGTAGTCTCAAACAACTGAATTTGTATATTTTTTCTGTTGGTTGAGTGTTGTCTGTAGTAGGTAGAAATAGCAGTTTAATTTTCTAAGTGAGTGGTATTTTTTACTCATGGGGGAAAAAGTTAGAGATTAACTCTGTAACCAAAGGAATTATTAGAAAAATAAAAAATTAAGGGATTCCCATCAGGTTTCCAGTAGCTCTCAGAGAATGCTGCTTTCACCAGGTGGCAAGAGGCTGCCAGTTACATACTGCCACTACAAAGCCCTTGCAGGCATGGCTGTCCTACAGGATGTCACATTCTGTTTCCAGGTCATTCACATTTTCTTACACTTTTTTTTAAGGTAGTAGGATTTTGCTAAATTTATTTGAACGATCATTCCAACCCACTTGACTCCTGTTGTTGAGAGATTTATTATTTAATGCTTTTTTACTCAGCCTCGGGAATTAAATCAGTTGAAGCTCCACAGTGAGGAGGCAAGTATGCTACGTGTTAAATACAGGTTTAGTAATTTTTCCAAGGCATGGTTTGCTTTTTATTTTCTTACCTTTTACTTGGAATATGTACTCCTGTCCTAAACAGGTCAATAGCCAAGCAGCTGAAAGGTACTTTACTTGTTTGTTCAACTAATGTCTCAAACTGATGCATTTCCCTCTTTCCCCCCCACCCCTCTTCAATGCAGGTGGCACTGCAACGTGTGCTTGGGCAGCAGCAGGACAGCAGCTTTCTAGATCATCATGAAATTGCTTCTAAAATCCAATTCTGATTAGAGGCTGGTATATAACTCCCAGGCAAGAAGTTCCTTGCTGGCTCTGTGTATTTAATGTGGCGAATTGCGGTAACAGGATATACTTCAGAGGTGATGATTCCAGTTAAGGATATACTTCAGAGGTGATGATTCCAGTTACAGAGGCAAGCTAGGATGGTGAGGTTTTGATCGGATGCTACGGTGTAGTGAAAAGGGAAAGAAACACAGACTTGACAAATACTTAAAATCAAGTATTCAAAAACAAATTATTTATTAGATGAAACTTGAAAATCTGAAAGATACCATGTACTCTTAATAAGAGAGGAAATGGGTGAGTTCTCATAGTGTAAAAAATTGTGACAGGCAGCTTGAGTAGACTTTCAGTTGGTTGAAACCTTGGGGAAAAAATATGCACAAACTACACACAGTTGGGTAGCTAAAGCTTGTCTATTAAATCCATGGTTAGATACCTAAATAAAAGGTACTCTAAACTTAAAAAAACAAACAAACAAAAAACCTCAAATCCTGATACCAGTGTTAGCATTTTTGGCTGTTCGGACCACCTTTATTTCTTTATCAATATATGCATAGAGGAACCAAACCTTTGGGCACTAACACTTTTGCTGTTGTTCTATCCAGCATACAGTAAAGTACAGGAGTCCTTATTTTAAAAAAAAAAAAAGTCCATCTTTCCAAAAAAGATGGTATGGATGAGTGCAAATGACAAGGAGCAGTTAGGCCAGCACTGCACTGGTTCTTAGCACTGTGGGGACAGTGTGGGCATGTATCTCCATCTCTGCTGGAGATGGATGGAGGAGTGATGGTGAGCACACCTGTATCTCACCAGCTTATCACTTTTATTGTTTTGTGCAGTTGTGCTTGGTACAGCTCTGGTGTGTTGCCTCCTTTATCCTGAACAGCAATGCCGAAGGCAGCTATCGTAGTTCTAATTTAGTGTCAGGCTGGGCCAAGTGGACGGACACAATTGATGGCAAAAGGAACGTACTAGCTTTGATGCTGTGGAAATGAGTCCTAGTAATGCACGTTCTATCAGTTTCAAATAGGAATGTGGTTTTTTTGTCTTCTAGTTTTTATTTTGGCTGCTGACTAAGGAAACTTGTGGCTCTCTGGAGCTCACTGCAGCTACCATCACCATCGCTTATTCCCACAGTAGCAGTATAGTGCTGAAACTACAAAAATAGCTTTCAACGAGCAGGCAGGTGTTCACTTCCCTCTGGCAGGCAAACCAGAAGCAAGCCTTGTCCCTGGGGAGGGCCAGACCTGCCGTGGCCATTAGTTAAGCTTGTGCAGTACAGACTACAAGGGCAAAGCTCCTGCTTCATCCCATGGTAGCAAAGTGAAGTTAATGCTGAGCTCTGCTCAGAGCATGCCTGCAGGGATATGACCTGATTGGCA